TGTCCTGTTTTTTCAAAGACAGTCCTGAAATTTTTATTTTGTAAAGGCTCATGCACATGGGTGTAAAATAATATTGTTATCTATGCAGGATCTTGCTGGCAGAAGATCCGGCATAAAAATGCATGTACTGGCCTGTACAGATATCAGTAGAGGTGCACCGAAATTGAAATTTTAAAACCGAAACGAAACTGAAATAAAAAAAAAATGTTAGACCAAAACCGATACCGAAAATGTTTTTTATTTTAATGTTTTCAATTTTTTTAAATATTTTTTTTTTTATATTTTTATTTATGAATTCATTTTTTATTAAATATTTTTATTTTTTACTTTTAGGGGCTTCGGGGAAATATTAGGGGTCTAAACAGACCCCTGATATTTCCCTTTTAAAATAGAAAAAGAGATTGTCCCTTGTTATCAATGAACAGGAATCCTCTATGAGTGTTCCTGTTCATTGATAACATGGTTTGTTTACTATAACTACAATTATGAGTGAATGGGGGTGATGTAGATCACTTCCCATTCATTCATAATTGAGGATATAGTTAACATGCCATATCCTCAATTATGTACACACACTCAGCGATCACTGATCACTTAGTGTGTGTACATTGCTTTTCTCTCTGACACGCTGTCACAGGAGGCTGAGCGAGCGGTGTAGAGAGGAAAGCCCAGCCTCCTGTGACAGTGCTGTCTCCGCCCCCACACCGCTCTGCCGGACTGTGATAGGCGGCAGAGCGGTGTGGGAGGAGACGTCGGCCGCTCACAGCGCTCTCCACCGCAGCGCTCGGCCGGCTGTCACTTTCTTTTCTCCCCGCTGGAACAGCGCCCAGCGGGGAGAAAAGAAACCAGGGATGCGCCGATGTATCGGCAGGAAAATGGCACTTTCGGCATTATGCCAAAAGTGCAATTTTCGGCCTATATGTTTCGGCGCCGATATATCGGTGCATCCCTAGATATCAGTATAAAACTACACCCATGTTCCTGTGTCCTAAGCAGTCAGGCTCCAAGTAAACAGTACATTGGATAATATCAATCCCGACTGCACTTAAAGGGGAACTTTATGTTCTGCTTTTTGACCCAGGACCCAATGTCTGATGTCAAAACATTGCACAAAACAAGAAAACCTTTGGGAGGAAAAGGTAGATAATATTTTTACTTTACCCCCTGATTTCTGTCCACAGTACATTGGGGAAGACATCATCCTTCTGGTGAGAAAGCAGAAAAGACACTGTTAGGGGTCTATTCATGAAGCTGCCGAAGGATCTGGCCGTAGCTTCGGCCGATCCTTCGGCTAGCTTCGGCCTCAGGACCCCTCCGGTTCAGCAGAACCGAAGGGGTGCTGTACGGGCTATTCACAATAGCCCGTACAGCTCCCGATCATGGCCGAGCGGCACAGCCGAGCCGAACGCATATGCATCGGCCCGGCTGAGCCGTGCTGAAAGCCGAAGCTGGCCGAGCGGCTTCTGACAGCTGGGCGGAGCCCAGCTGTGATCTTACGGCTGGCTCCGGCGATTTTCAGAGAGATCAGCATCCCTGGTTACCTGTTAACCAGGGACACTGATCTCCAAACAGCTAAAAGGGGGCGCGCAAGGGGGCGTGTCTGAGCGGACGTCTAGAGACGCCCGCTCAGATCGAGAGAGCTCCTGGCCGGCCGTTTTTTTACTACGGCCGGCCCGGAGGTAGTTAAGAATAGTCCGAACAGCAGTGAGTAACCTGCCAGAGGTTCGGCTCAGCCGATCCAGATGTTGGATCGGCTGAGTCGAACTCCTTCTGCACTTGAAATCAACCGTATCAGCCTGAAGTGAATAGCCGAACAGTGTTCCGCTCACTTCACTTCAGGTCGGTCATTCACTCGGCTGCCCTCGGCAGCTTAGTGAATAGACCCCTTAGTCCACATTCACACCTAGGCGTCAGCGTTTCCGCGCGTTTCCCGCACGTTTTCTCGCGTTTATGCGCGTTTACACTTAATAGATGTGCGTTTTGGACGTGTTTCTGCATATGGGTGTATTGAGTGTTGTCCAATGAAAAGAAGTCCTGCCAATGACATAATAAACTCCTACACATTAGCCAAAGGGTTAACAACATCAGCCTTTAAGCAGCTGTGGAACTACAAGTCCTGTGATGCATATAAAAGTCTGTACACCCAGAAAAGAAACAGGCCTGGCACCCAGGTAGCTGCATACTGGGATTTGTAGTTCCAAAACACATGGAGATCTGCAGCTGCACAGACCTACAATAGCCACACAAGCAAGCAGAAACATAAGCTACAACAGTATCACAACAAACTTTAGATGCACCACGTACCAGACGTCACACGCCACATGTCACACGTACATGTTTTACCTTTGCTGTCCTTGAGGGATGGAGAGAAAGATTCCCATTCTGGCCAAATCTGGCAAGCAATTTGCATCCAAGCCTGCCTCATACAGGCATGCTTGTGCCTGTATTAGACTTATAAATGCCTCAGAATGAACATTTTGCAGACATGAATCAGCCATTTTGTTTCCCAGTGTTATTTGCAGGTGGTCTTCCACAATGTAAAAACACGCATTCTTTTTGCACAAAAACGCGCGATTTTGGTGTGTTTTCCATTTAAATCTATGGAGCACAAACACGCTGAATCTGCCTGAATGAAGCTCATTCACCTTTTCCAGCATTCAGCATTTTTACAGCTTGCTGCTAAACTCTCAGGTGTGAACAGGGGCCATAGAAATGAATAGGAATTCTTGTGTTGTGTGTTTTGACGCTTAAGCTTTCAGCGTCAAAACGCCCAGGTGTGAACAGGGACTTACACTGTGCTGGAGCATCATTTCACCAGATTTAGGTTACTCTGCATTCCCCTAGATGTCGTCAGTAGAATGGTGACATCACCCCTGCAGTATAGAAGGAAGGATATGAACCATCTTTTTTTAATCACAGATTTATTTTTATTTAGTGCAGCATTTTGGCATGGGGTGGGGCTCAGAAAATAAGGCAACTTAACTTGTAGTTTAAGATCTGCTTTAATTGTAAATATATTGAGCATTAATATTTTACTGACAGTGAGGCCCCTATATGTGTGAATTGTTGGCTCTAGTAGGAAACAACAACTGGAGTGTGAAGCTCATATTTAAAGTGCAGGCTACCTAATTATTGTACAAGTTTAATGGTTCGATTACTACCAGCAGGTACCTGCAGGGTAACCTGTATCAATTGTATCTTTGCTGTATGAAAACTAAAATCATTTTAGAAACATGCGTCATTAATAAAGTGTAAGTTTAATTTTTAACAGCGGAAAAAACCTTTTTCTTTACATACACAGCAACTGTAACCTGTTCATCAAGCATACATCGCCATCTCGTGGTAGAAGTGTATTATTGCATGGTTTACTCTTCTGTCATTTACCTTCTTTTCTGTAACTTTCTTGTTTCTTACAATTAAATATTCAATAATTTCATAAAACTCATATAAAGCAGTTCAGTCAAGAAATGCGTAGTTCTATCATCTTCACATATGACTGAATTTTGGTGGTTATTACAAAGCCGCAGTTAGTATCTCTTTAGAGAAGGATAATTCATAGATGAAAATGCACTGTCTGCTGTAACTTTATTGTTAAAATTACTATTTGGGATCCATAGGGGATTATTTTTGAAAATATCTAAGTATGTTACCATAGATCAAGTGCACAGAGAAATCTCGCCGCTCCAAACGTCCAGCTAGATCCATGTAATGGAGATCCCACAGGTGCAGGCCAACCTCTCACCTTCAGTCAATCCAGCCAAAAAACACAGCCGCATGGCACGAGGGAGGAGACTGTGGAGTGCGGCTTTCTTTTTGGGCTGGATAGGTCAAGTGCGGTTTTAGAGGTCATTAAGGCCTGGTTCCCAACATCACATCAAACAACACATACTGTACATGTTTTGTTAAAAATGCCTAATATATTTTTTACATCACAATTGAACACAATGCAAATGCATTTTATGTGCCCCCACCCCCCCCTGAAATCATGGAAATCACCATTGACTATAATGGAACATTTTCACACACGGATTGGCCACTACAGAGTCCAGACCTTAACCCCATTGAGAATCTTTGGGACGTGCTGGAGAAGACTTTAAACAGTGGTCTGACTCTCCCATCATCGCTAGAAGATCTTGGTGAAAAATGAATGCAACTCTAGATAAATAACTTTAGGTAAATAAATGTTGACTTGGCATAATCTTATTGAAACTATGCCACAGCGAATGCTTGCCGTAATCAAAGCTAAAAGAGGTCCAACGAAATACAGTGTGTGACTTTTTTTGGCCAGGCAGTATATTTTCCCTGTGCTTTTGGGGTGTTGTGAACAAGCATTTTAACACATTACAATGCACTGGTGCAAATTGACTTATATTCATATGTGCTACAAGGATCTGGATCTTGGGCATCTACCTTTCTCCATCTATACCTATAGTCTTAGTCATGTTATTAGATCACTGTCGCCTGTACAGAGCTGACACCCAGATTTATCTCTCAGCTCCCAACCTTTCTGTCATATATTCTCTGAATTTGGACCTACATACAGCTGTCTCATGTTTCATGCTTTAGAAGAAGACCTTTTAGCCAGGTGACATCACCAGGTATCTGTCGCCTTGGCAGCCAAAAGAGCCTCTTCTGTTCACCCACTTGGTACTGATTTGACTTTCCTACTAAGGGTTGGACTTCCTCAACTATTTGGCTAAGTGTCACCCCTAGATAATCCTACTTACCCACCATCAAACAGGAGCACCTAAGTGCCCAATAAATGCTATCATTGGAAAGGTGGATAGAATGGTGTATTATGATGATTATTATTATTATTATCTTTATTATTTGTTTGCTGTACATTAATCTTTTAGAGCAGTGGAAGATTATGGTGAGATGAAGATGTAACTCTTCCATTGATTAGAAGAAAAGTGTTGTGCTGGATATGACTTGAGATACTGTATGATTACACGTGTATTTGAGGTTGTAACCTTTTCTAATGTGTCATTTTTTTTTAGAGCAGAAGATGGGGAGATCCACCCAGAGATCTGCAGACTTTATATCCAGCTGCAGTGCTGCCTAGAAATGTATACAACTGAAATGCTGAAATCTATGTGTCTTCTAGGCTCCCTCCAATACCAGCGGAAAGGTAACCTGTTATTCCATTTGGAATGAGTCTACCTCTGCATCGGATGATTAAAGTGCCCCATGGATTTAGTAGTGAATGTGATGCTGTGAAAGAGGGGGCTGATTGTGGTATGGGTGTGTATTTATTAAAGAAGAACTCCAGGAAATATTTTAGTAACCCTTGCAGTGGGGCTACCAGTGCACTGCAAGGGTTAATCTCCCTCGCGGTATGATTATCTCAGTATTTTTTATTTTCTATTTTTTACTTTTGAATTTCTCGCCGGTTCCGCCCCCCTGCCATGCCGGCGCTCGCAGGGAAGGAACCCGGAAGACGCCCGAGTGTGGCTCAGGGTTACCGCATTTGGTACGGAAAATTTACCCCCAAGCCACACTCAGGATTACCGCCAGGAAGGTTACGTGCTTATTTTTGTCTAGATTGAAAAAAAACAACGTTATTTTTCAACCGAAGCTCCGAGGCGGTCAGCTGTTACAGCACTCCCTCTTGCCTGCCTACTTCTATGCTGCAGCATTGGAATGTTCCTTGGCATCCTCACAGCTACACACATTGTATAGAATATGATGATTTAGGGGACTTTAGATTGCTGCAGAGGAGAGGGAGAGAGTCTGGAAGGACCAGTCTAAGAAATAGCAGGCTCCACGGTTCAGGTGGGTATAATTTAATTTGTTTTTAAGCTAGACAAAAACGAGCAAGTAAGAATTTAAAAATAAGTATTTTAAATGCTTACTTGTAGAGTTTTCCTTTTCCATTAATAATTTTTGTTCACTTGCATTGTACCTTTGAGTTCACTAGGGAATTTGACCACTCCAGGGACAGTCAATTACCTAGCACAGTAACAGTTCCTACTCCCTCCTGCCACATAGCCTTCTCCTCTTCTGGGAGTGCCCAGATACTATATGTGCAAGCCCAGGCCCTCCTTCCCTCACCTCCCTACATAACCTTTAATGTAGCTGCCAGGGAAGGAGTGAAGGGAATACTATAGAGCAAGGGTATGAAAACTCTGGCCCTCCAGCTGTGGTGCAACTACAAATCCCATGAGGCATTGCAAGACTCTGACAGCCACAAGCATGACTCCTGGAGGCAGATGTATGGAGGGATTTGTAGTTACACCACAGCTGGAGAGCCATAGTTTGGCTGCAATAGATTGTCACTAGACTGACAGCACTGAGGCTGCTGATATTACATCCAAGATGGTGGCACTCAAAAGCAGCATCAGGCCTTATAGATGTCTGCACAAAGGAGGTTTTTACAAGTAAACAATGTAAAACATATGTTAACCCCTTCGTGACTGACGACGTACAGTGTACGTCGCCAGCATTGGGGCTATTTAAACAGACTCCCGGCGGCTATTGCCGCCGGGAGTCTGTTTAAATTTGTAAAGCTGACTGTCGGCTTTACAACAGAAGTGATTCTGGCGACTTACCTGCCGCCAGATCTCTTCTGTGTCCCGTAGACACCGCCGCCGTGCTTCCCGGGCCCCGTTGCCCCTCCTACGGGCCCGGGACCAGCTTCCTTTGTGTCGGTCCCCTCCCCGTTCATTGATCCCCTCCCCGTTCTATGGGACCGCGAGCGATGCAGATTGCATCACTTCCGGTCCCTGGGCTGTCAGTTCTGGGCTCCTGCAGTCCAGCTATAAGCTATTGAAGTGCGATCTGCACTTCAATAGCTTATTTCCAGTGTAAAGGTGACACTGGGGGTCTTTTGGACCCCCAGCATCACCTTAACTTGATGAAACTGTTTGCTTTTGGTGGTATTTCTCAGTGTAAGATGTCCATGCTCCTTATGTGTTTAATAATAATGCCCTCACCAGACATACACAGAAGTTTTCCCTCTCAATGAAAGAAGAGAAGGTCCGTTCTGTGTGAAGGCAAGATTTACAGCTTCTCTCCTCCCCCGTTGCATACAGAACGGACATTCTCTTCTTACAATGAGAGTGAAAACTGCTGTGCAGCAAGGAGCACGGGCATCTCACACTGAGATATATCACCAAAAGGAAACCGATTCATAAAGTTGAAAAGGACGGGACACGGAGGAGCAGCAACAGCTAAGATACAGGGGGGAGGGGGGCAGCGGGGGATCACAGCTACAGTCTCTTCTGCCATCTCATGCTGGCTACAGCGGTCTGTGAAAGGGACACCGAGCTCTGCAGCCAGCACTAGCAGGGAGAAGAGACTGTCCACACAACACTTACCCCCGCCATGCTGTCACACTTCCAGAGAGGTCAGAGCGGAGAGGGAGCCTGCGTTTGGTAAAGAGGTATTCCGGGGGAGGGGCTATGGGGGTCAATGGCCGAAGCTAGTTGAAAAAATGTAAACGGCCGGTATCTGATCTAGGCATCGGGGCATTTTCAGGAGTACATGAAAATGCTGTGTATCGGCCCAGATACCGGTACTAGCATTGGTATAGGGACATCCCTATTCCATACACATGAATGCTTTGTTAGCCTGAGCTTGCACATTTATGTCTGAGGAGGGAGAGTGTGCAGGCAGGCAGCTCTAACACTGGGGTATCTGAAGGGGGAACAATAGTGAATAGCAATCATTAGTCTGATAATTGACTTCCATGAAGGAATGGCTAGTGGTTCTCTTGCAGGTATCAGATACTGTACATAAAATGGTTTCCCGATTTTGCATAAAATCAGGTCTTTTGTTCACTTGTCAACATAGATGCATTCTTTGTTTCCTCGGTGACTGCGTATGGTATCCACAAAAACAACCAGAATGAAGGAGGATTATGCTATGTCTATGGGCTCCCTCAGGTCTTTCGTTCACTTGTCAACATAGATGCATTCTTTGTTTTCTCTGTGACTGTGTATGGTATCCACAATCCGGAAACCAACTGATAGGTCATACAGATCTGACCCAAACTCACCATCAGTTGTCAGTTATGCAGCCATTCTGACACGCATGGCTCTATGTACTTTGTTAAATATTGTGGCTTAAAGCTGTGATGTAAAAGTTTTTAGTTTTTTTTATATGCCAATAAATACCTCTTATTTGATTGTATTCTTATCTTAAAGGAAAAGAGCAGTGTGTTGGTCCAAAGATAATAGACTACAAAATGGATGAGAGTTCTGAAGTTCCAATCTTAGAAGACACATCATCATCCCCAGTAGATGTCCAGCAGTGTTGGCAGGTTTCCACAGACATTGACAACACAGAAAGGTACGAGGGACTGAGGAAAATTGGAGTCTTGGATATGAATGGAACGCCAAACTGAAGGAGATGTTTTCTTTTGTTTTTCAGGGACATGAGGGAAATGAAAAACCTCTTAAGCAAACTCAGGGAGACCATGCCTTTGCCATTAAAAAACCAAGGTAAGATTATAATTTGCTAATCAGCTTTTCCATTTATATTCTTTAACATTTGCATGAATACATTTTGCTGTAAGTACTGTACTCTGCTGTACTCTTACTCAAAGTGGAAATCGGGACAAAATATTTTCTGAGAACAGATAGTGAAGAAAGATTTCAACCTCTTATCAGGCTTTTGTTGCTGTTGGTGTACCTTGTAAGGTGGTTTCTAGTAGTCACAGGACAGAAAGAACCCCACAGAGAAACACACAACATTAATGTGCACCCGTGCCCAGAGTGAGGACATTACATTATTTGTTTATTTTAACTAGCAGTAAAAGAGCTTTAAAACAACCCATCACTGACCTTTCTAGCTGTTTGTTATGTGAAGTAATTCTTTCTTAAAGATCACAGCTAAGAAGCCTGGTTTCAGTAGTTTCAGCAGCTTAGAAAGACATGCTGTGTGTTAATATTAGAGGGCTGGCAGGCTGCCAAAATTCTACTGCATTAGGAAGTAATAGGAAAAAGCTAAGATTTAATTGCCTGTGTTGTAAATTTTAAGATGAATGTATCAGCAATGCCTATAGCCATCAAGATGAACGAGGACTTGTTTAAAAGTGCTTTTAAAGTGTGTTCAGATTGTGTAAGTACTATGGTGTGCATACTCTGGGCATACATTTGTTTTAAAGGTTGCTGATCTCGTTCTAAAAACTTAGTGGCCTGGCTGTTATGCTGACCAACTGATTCAATACTTTCTAAAACAAGCAGCTAAAGTATTCTGACTTTAGTTCACCTTTTTTTGCATACCGTATTTGTTCTAGGTCAAAAGTTTAGCAATTTGTATTGAGATTGTAGTCCATCACGGGAGGGAACTTGGAGTGGTGGCTACTAAAGCACACACAGAATCATGGGGAACAAAAGTAGCCACCCTCCAGAAGGAAGGACAGTGTCAGCAACAATTCAGAGATGATTTGAGGATCTACAGCCGAGTGATACACAAATAAGATACATTTCTATTGATAGTTAAGGACTTGAATGCGTTTTTACGATTTAACTACGGAGTTTAGTGTCTACTACGAACTACGGACTTTAAGTAACAATAAAGTTATTGCCCATAGTGAAAATGTAAAAATTGCTCTGGTTCATAGGGGGTTAGAGCTGAAGTGGTTAATAAGTCAACTAACTCAGACACTTGGATTGTAATAAGTAGGGATGTCCCGATACCGATACCAGTATTGGGACCGATACAGGGCATTTTCACAAGTACTTGTGAAAATGCCCCGATACATAGCGCCTATGCTTGCTCAGGGGTGTTGAATTCGTGTCGCCCGACACCCGGGACATGTAGTGCCGGGCAAGCGAGAGTGGGGGGGGCGTGGAGCGGTGACAGAGAAGGGGGCGTGGAGCGGTGACAGAGTAGGGGGCGTGGAGCGGTGACAGAGCCTGACGGTGGAACTGTGACAGGCTCTGTCACCTCCCTCAGCCTCTGTTCCCGCCCGCTGCTCGTTCCTGTCACAGGAGTTCTAGCACATAAAGAGTACATGTCACCTCCAAATGCTATCACACAGGGGCTTGTTCTCCCCTGTGTGATAGCAATAAAGTTAAGTGAAAAATAAGTTTAAAAAAGTTAAAGTAAAAAATAATAAAATAAAAAAGTAAAAAATAATAACAACTAATTAAAAATGTAACTAAATCAAAATTTAAAAAATAAAAAGGCGATAAAGTTAAAAATAATAAAATAAATGAAAATTAAAATTTTTTACAAAGTAAATAAAATCTACAAAAATTAAAACCAACCCACGGCCCCTATCATCTGCATGCGAATAAATGCGCAGTGTTTTCAACCGCGATCGTGTGCAACCACACAGGCAGGGCGGTATTGCAGCGGGAAACCGCGCAATATGCCTGGCATGACTGGGGTGTTATTAGAAAATAATGGCACTGCCAGCGCGATTGGCAGTGGTGTGCGATCCGTGACCGCCCGGTCATCGTGCACGAAACCGAGCGGATGGCTGGGCGGTCACGTAATTGCACACCACCGCCGATCGCGCTGGCAGTGCCATTACTTTCTAATGGCACTCCATTCGCGCCAGGCAGATCGCACAGTTTCCCGCCGCAATACCGCCCGGGTGGTCCCACACGATCGCGGTTGAAAACATGAATAGGTTAAATGATCCCAGAGGAGGATTTGTAGTTTCACTACAGCTGTGTGAAAGCAAATAAAAATGTTTTATTGTTCTAAAATAGTCTTAAATTAAAGAAATTGGCCTAAAATCATTAGTCTGTATTGTTTTTTTAACAATACGGACTAATTATGTTAGACCAATTTCTTGCCTGTCCCTTTAAGGAAAAGTATCGGTAATTGGTATCGGCAAGTACATGAGGGGAAGTACTTGTACTTGGCCTTGAAAAAGTGGTATCGGGACATCCCTAGTGATAAGGTAAACCAATAAAGGAAAACCATTTTGAACCATTGCAAAGCAGGAAACAGAGCCTGCAGATGTAAAGGCAAACGGAGCTTCCCCATACATTGTGTGATTACAAATTATACTGAATACTGTATCTTATCAAAGGTTTTTAACACATATTGATATGGTTTACACCAGGCTTATCTCTTTTACATGTTTATTTAAAAAAAATCAAAACTCTGGATTTGTAATACTATAAAAAAAAACTCCAGTTATGCATTTTATTAACACTTACAGTGGGGCTACCCCCACACTGCAAGGGTTAACTACTTGTTTTTGCCTAAGGTCAAAAAAAAACAAAGTTATACCCACCTGAACCTCTGAGCCTGCTGGCTGTGACAGCTCCTCCTCCAGCCTGTCTCCAGCTGCAGCCACGGTGTCCCTAGGCATCCTCATGTCCTATAAACTGTATATAGAACGTGACGATTATACCGCTGCAGAGGAGTGGTAGAAAGGCTCCAATGACCGGTCTAAGAGTCACCCAGCTCAAAGGATTGGGTGAGTATAACTATTTTAGTTTTCTTTGTTTTACCCTAGCCAAAAACAAGCAGCTAACCCTGGCAGTGCGAGGGTACCCCCACTGTAAAGGTTAATAATATTTTTAACAGCTTTAAACTGCTTTAAAAAAGTATAGTTAAATACTTGTAGTAGACTTTCAGCTTTGGAAAAGTGAACCTTGTAGACAAGTGCTCAGGTTCAAATAGCAAAAGGAAAGGCATCACAAAGGTCCAGTTTATTTAAAGTACATTTAAAACTAATTAGGCTTCATTTACACCTATATTTTAGATGTGATTAGGGATTCCTGCAGCAGGAACTTGCAATTTCCTGCATGCCTGATCTGCCATTTAAAAGCTGCAGCTGTCACCCTTTCAAGTTAATAATCAATCAATCACTCTCCCTGGACGCTCAATCGTGTATCCAGGGACAGTGATTCATTTCTAACCGGATGTAATCGTATCATATGCGATTACATACGGTGTGCCGGCGTTCAAATGCAGCATAAATCGCAAGTTCCCGACACAATAATGTCTAATAGCACCTAAAATATAGGTGTGAATGGAGCCTTACTCTTGTTAATTTAGATACATTTGAGCAGATGGGGGTGATGTTCTGAATATTGTAAAATTCCACGTTTTTGCTGCATGGAACATTCCACTTCTACGTAAATGGATAGTCTACTCAGATTCAGACGTGTAAGCCGGCAAAAAAATTGTTTCGTTTTGGATGTTTCGTTATTTCGATTTACCGGGTTCAGGTCCGAAATCTCATTCATTTTGGATACGTCCGCATCCGAAATTTTCGTTAATTTTGAATGAGTTAAACGAATTTTATGAATGAAAATTTGTTGCAGAAAAGTGACATAAAAAAAGTGACGTTTACTTTTTTTTACTTTAAACAGAAACAATTTTTTTTTAAAAGTGACGTTTACTTTTTTTTACTTTAAACAGAAACAATTTTTTTTTAAAAGTGACGTTTACTTTTTTTTACTTAAAACAGGTCTGGTAGGAAATTTACCCCAATGCCAAAAAAACAAAACAAAATAAAAAAACCTTTGCTCCAAGCAACAGCCTGGCAAAGCAGAAAAAGGGGGGGACAAGCATGTGGCCTGCCCCATAGCAGGCCACATGCCCTCACCATGGGGAGGGTGCTTTGCAAGGGGGGTACCCCCTGGAGAAGCACCTTGTCCCCATGTCGATGAGGACAAGGACCTCTCCCCCACAACCCTGGCCCAGTGGTTGTGGGGGTCTGCGGGGGGCTTATCTGAATCTGGGCGCTCACTTTCAAAAAGGGGGCACCCAGATCCCCCCCTTGTGAATGAGTAAGGTGTAGTTACCAAATAAACAGTCAAATTGTAAATAGACGCACCACACCATAAAAAAATCCTTTATTTGGAAAAAAGGTCAATCATGTCGTCCAGCAATGTAGATTCACCTCAACCATGATGGACGATGGCCTCCGACTCGCCGAAAGAAAAAATTCCCAATGCCCACCAACAAGACAAAACCCAATGAACACTGGCTGCAAAATTACAGCTCAGGTTGTTAGAATGTTTTTAAATGTGACAAAAAAAAACGTTGTGCGGTCCCCCCAATTCATAGCCCAACACCAAAAAAAACAAAAGGACCCTCTGGCAAAGCACCTTGTCCCCATTTTGATGAGGACAAGGGCCTCTACCCCACAACCCTGGCACAGGGTTGTGGGGGTCTGCAGGCAGGGGGCTTAAAGGTATCTGGGTACCCCCTTCATAAAAGGGGGCACCCAGATGCCACCCACCCTCTCGTGAATGAGTAAGGGGTAGTTGTTACCCCTACTCATTCCCCAATAACAGTAAAATTGTAAATAAACACACAACACTGTCTTCAAAAGTCCTTTATTTGGAGAAAAAAAAAGCCACAACACAAGTTTTCTGTTAAAAAAAAAAGTGAAAAATGTCCATCGTTGTGATCCACAGGTCAATCAAGCCGTCTAGTGGTGTAGATCCACGCCAATCAGAATGGATGGCGGCCGCCGACTCGCGGAAAGAAAAAATTCCTGACACCCACCGAAACGACTGAT